CCTGATTTTAAAACATACTGTATAGCTACAGTAATCAAAATAGCCTGGTACCGGTATAACAGTAGACACACAGACCAATGGAATAGAATTGAGAGTCCAGAAATAAACCTACACATCTATGGTCAACTGATTTTTGACAAAGGCACTAAGTCCATTTGATGGGGAAAGAAGAGTCTCTTCAGTAAATAGTGCTGGGAAAATTGGATTTCCACGTGCAGAAAAATGAAATGGGATTCATGCCTCACACTGTACACAAAAACAAATTCAAAATGGATTAAGGAGCTAAATGTGCAAACTAAAACCATAGAATTCTTAGAAGAACAAGCAGGGACAACACTGTCAGGCCTAACTTTCAATAATAGATTAATGTAATAACAAAAGCACAAACAGCAAAAGACAAATAAATGGGACCTCATAAAGATTAAAAACTTTAGTTCATCAAAAGGCTTTACCAAAAAAGTGAAAAGACAAGCTACCAACTGGGAGAATATCTTCAGAAACCATATATGTGACAAGAATCTAATCAGGAAGATATATATAAAGTTTCAACAACTTAACAACAAAAAAGACAACTCAATCATAAAATGGGCAAAGGACTTGAGTAGACATTTCACCAAAGAGGACATTCAGGTAGCCACCAAACACATGACAAGATGCTCAGCATCATTAGCCACCAGAGATTCAAATCAAAACCACAATGATATACCATTTCAGTCCCACTAGGATGGCTAAAAAATAAATGAAAAAACAAAGTAACATATGTTGACAAGGATGCAGGAAAATTGGAACTCTTATCCATTGCTGATGGGAATGCAAAGTGGTAAACATTGTGGAAAACAGTGTGGCAGTGCCTCAAAAAACTAAAACTGGAACTACCATAAAACCTAAAAGAACCAAACCTGTTGCTGTGGAGTCGATTCCGACTCAGTAACCCTATAGGACAGAGTAGAACTGCCCCACAGGGTTTCCAAGGAGCGGCTGGTGGATTTGAATTACTGACTGTTTGGTTAGCAGCCAAGCTCTTAACCACTGTGCCACAAGGGTTCCAGAACTACCATATGGCCTAGCAATTCCACTCCTAGGTGTATACCCAAAAAACTTGAAGGTAGAGACTTGCACACCAATGTTCATTGCAGCACTATTCATAATTGTGAAAACAACCTAAATGCCCATGACCTGATGAATGGATAAGCAAAATGTGGTACACAGACACGGTGGAATACTCCTCAGCCAGTGGGAGAAATGAAGTCTTGATACATGCTACAGTATGGGTGGAGCTTGAAGACATTATGCTGAGCAAAATAAGCCAATCACAAAAGGACAAATATTGTATGACCTCAGTTATATAAAAAGACAAGAAAAGGCAAATGTGTAGAGACCAAAGTTTATCAGTGGTTACCAGGGGCAGTAGGGAGGGGGAAAAGGGGTTAACAGTAATGGAAAAATTGTATTAAGGGTAGGGTTGCACAGCTGATTATTCTAATTGTTAGTAAGTCGTACACTTTAAAGTGTTGAATTGGCAAAAGTTGTGAGATACATTTTCAACAATGACAAAGAATAGCTGCTGAGGCTGCTTATGTACAACCAGAAACGTCCTGGGATTTGGTTCCTTGATTTGGTGGTTTAGGGTCATGGTTTCATGGACATCCCAGTTAATTGGGCTAATAACATATTAACTGCTAATATTCTATCTCCTAGTTCATTGCGTAATGCCTGGGGTCTTAAAAACTAGCAAGCAGCCATCCAAGGCACAACAATTGGTCTCTTCACCTGGAGCAACAGAGGAAGATGGAGAGTTAGGAATAGGAGGATATAGAATGTGTGGCTAATTGCTTCCATGAACTGTTGCCTCCTTTGCCGTGAGAGAAGAACTGGATGATGCCTGGCTAACATTACTCAACATTTGATCAAAGATTCTGTAGAACAATTCTCACCAAAAGTGGGAAATGCAGAAGAGAATTTCAGATTCTCATGGACTCCAGGCTTTCAGGAGCCATGGAGGCTGGATGAACGCCTGAAACTATTGCCCTGAGGTAATCTTTAAACTTTAAACAAAAGTATCCCATGAAGTCTTCTTAAAACTAAGGAATAGTTTAGCGTCGCTAGTAAAAAAGGTATGTCTTGAGCGTTATGCTCATTTAAAAGTGATGAGATTATAGATTTTTTTCTTAATTTTCCAGTTTATATGTGTTATCATTGTGTTACATTTATTATTTTGAGTGATTAAAATATCTGTTACATTTGTGGTACAAATTATAGTGCTCAGCAATATCTAGTTCTAGCCTTCCAGACCTGGATACCGTACTTCTAGCCTTTTGTGTGTCATTTTCAGCTTGAGGCAGTGAAAAGCTCATGCTCAATTCTTCAGTCTCCCAGTCTTAATCTTTCTCTGGATAATTCAGTATTACAGATAAAAAAAAAAGGGAAACCCGTTGCCATTAAGTCAATTCCTACCATAGCAACCCTATGGGACAGAGTAGAACAAAGAGTTTCCAAGGAGCAGTTGGTAGATTCCAGCTGCTGACCTTTAAGTGAGCAGCCAAGCTCTTAACCACTGCACCACTAGGGCTCTGGCAACACTATAAAATGGTGGGACTTGTCTAAGCCAGCATTCCTGAGCCACCTAGTGGAGGACAGTTGCATTGGAGAGACACCCATACCTGAAGCAGGCTTTGCATGAGCAAGAAATAAAACTGTCTTGTTAACTTGCCAAGACTTGGGATTGTTTTATAGCTGCAACATAATTTAGCCTACCCTGACTGACAAAGCAGTGGTCTGCAAATTGGGGTATGTAAGACAATCCAGTGCATCAGTTTGTGGGAATACAATATTACAACTTCTGTTTATATTTCTTTTTTATCTAAAAATAAAAAAGAAATGAAACTTTACTAATAATGTGTACAGGTTGATATTAGCATCTTTAATTAACAAGTCAGATGATCAGCGTCAGCATGGTATGTGAGAGATCCTGAGAGAAAAGTGAGAATCCACAACATGTGGAACTCTACGGTGGTTCCCTCACTGCATCCTTTTGCTTTCAGCTTTCAGTCATTAATTGAATTTATGAATGGTATTATCTAATTTTCACCACACTGCTTACCACAGAATGACCAGGTAGCTAAAGGTTCTTGCAATGAAGCAAGATAATACTAAAAATACAAAAACCCATCAACCACAAGAAAATGATAGAGCTGAGACTTCTGCTTAACTCCTAGTACTAGCTCTTTGTCAGACATGTTAATGAGATGACAACAGATATGAACTAATCAGATCTGATAGTAAATTGGCCACCAGAATTCAAAATTATCAAGAAGACTATTTGAAATATTGACTGACTTCAACTTTTATTAATGAAGAGCCTTACCCTAAGTGCATAGTCTCCAAGATATTAACTAATGACAGTATGATGCCATTATGATTAGCCAGCAACTTTTCCCAGTCATGTTTAAAGCCATATGACACTCAGTCCAGGACTTTAGAAAATTTTACTAAACTTAATAATATTTATAAGCCTCTTTTGTGAAGTTTCTTAACAGAAAACAAAAAGTCACATATGATTGGGGAAACTTGTTCTTTTTGCTGTGATTAAAATGGCTCATATTACACAGAAAGCATAATGGTGACAAAATGTATTCTTTTGTCAGCAAATAATAACATAGAAAGCTGCTGAAGTGTTGAAAATGGTATACAATGTGGGAGGTTTATTATACAATTGGATGAAAATATGTTTCTGATATATCTCAGCTTAGGGTCTTTGCGAAATTGTTTCAATGAAATACACAAGTTTTTGTAAAGCTCTGAAGGAAGGAGAATAAACATTTGCAATGGAAAATTACTTCAACTTAAAAAAAAAAGTCTTATGAAAAACTAATTGTAACCACTGATGGAATGTCTGCTTTAATGGAGTTAAAAAAGAAGACTGATGGGGTAACAATATCAAGATAGCGTCTCACAAATGTATTCACTGCATCATTCCTAGGCAACCTCTTGAACAAAGAAGATGAATTCCTTTCCAAAGGTCAGCCATTTAAAATCATTGATCAGAACCTCAGATTGAAGCTGACCCAAATGATACCTATTCTCTGGGATTGTTTTTAAATTATTTTTTAATTAAAAGGAGGCAGCCTGAATGAGTACGTATATCAGCTAGAAATTATATTAACCTGCAAGGAACAGAGAACTTCGCCCTCCTCAAAATGTAAACTCTCTTAAGAGTTTATTTTGTACTCATGTAAAAGAAGTCTGGGTGGTCCAGGGTTGGAAGGGTAGCTCTCCTTAGGAACCCATGTTGCTAGCTTTCTGTTCCACCATCTTTGAGGTGTCACCTTAAATCTTTTGCTCACAGGACAAGCCAGAGCTCTTTTTCTACATTTTAGGCAGAAAGAAGGGGAAGGGCAATGTGCCAAAAAAAAAAAAAAAAAGCACCAGCTGAGTCTGCCCTATAACTTCCACTTATTTTTTTTTTTTTACCAGAACTGTGTTGTATGACCATGCCTACCTGCAAGCAAGCTTGAAAAATGCAGTTGTATTTTGTTGTTTTTTCCCCATTTACTAGCTTTGCCTTTTTAGTTACTCTGACACTGTTTGTCTGCTTATAATTAAGCAACAAGAAATATAATATTCTTCTTTAAAAAACAGTAAATCTGCCAATGGTTTATCCAGTTAAAAAAATAAGAAGGAGTAAAGTAGGAAAAAAATATTATTTTACACTTACCAGGCTTAATGTTATAAGTTTTCTAAACTCTGACTTCTTTTAGTCCCTGAACATAATAATATAACAACAATAATAATAGCAATTAAGAGTTATAAAGTGCCTCCTGCCTGCCAAGAACTGGTTTTCATGCTTTATAAACATTAACTCATTTAATCCTCAGAAGAGTTGTGAAAAGGGTCAATGAAAAAGGCAAGATTCAGATTCTTTTGAAGCTTTTTTTTTTAACTCAGTGGAAAAACAAAATACAGATTTTTAGAAGTCAGCTTTGTTTTAATATGTTTTTTAGATCAATGTAGAGCTGTATGGATTGTTTGGCACAAAGCAAATTGTAATTTCTCATGCCTCTCAAACTGTTGATCCCACTGAAAGTACACCTAGCACAATCAAAATGTTTCTGTCCAAATACTGTGCTGACCACCCAAACAACTGGGATGATCATCTGTCGGCTGTTTCATTTGCCTTCAATATAATTCACTTGGTATGTGCTTTTTTATAATTCTATACTTTTAAGTTATGACTGCTTATTTCTTGGCTAGATAAATATTTGCTGTTTGTTTTCCTTAAAACAGGAGTCTGCTAAAAATACACCATATTTTCAAATGTTTAATCGAAATCCTTACATGCCTGAGACTTCAGATAGTCTTCATGAAGTGGATGGTGGTAATACAAGTATGTTTTCCAAAATTCTAGATGCCATTAAAGAAGCTGATAAAATAATGGCAAATAAGACAACTTCAGCAGACCAGGTGATTTTATTTAATAGAAAAAAACTGAAGTGATCATTTATTTTTTAAATTTTCAGGATCCATAAACACATTATATACCCTTAAGATAAAATTTTCCTGCCAAATCTACTTGTCTTGATTAAACAGTATGCTTATTAGCTGTCAATCTGAGAGACAACAGTGGGAAAACAATGGATTTTGAAATCAATTAGAGATAGATTCAAATCCCTAGTCTTACTGCTTTCCATTTGTTTGACTTAGACAAATTACTTAACCTGTCTCTACTTCAGTTACTTTATATGTAAAGTAGAGGGAATAATACCAACTTGGAAATATTGTTTTAAGAATTAAATGCCTACCATTTACTAGCATCTCAATAATCTTTTTGTTATAATATTATCTGCGTTCAATAAATTATAGCTCTTTATCATCACTCTGTTCTTTTTTTTTTTTTTCTGGTACTTGTAGATGCAGAACAACAATTTTAATGAAGTAAGTAAAAGCAAGATCATTGTTAAAAAGAAACCAAAGCAGTTGAATCCATTTCATCTAAAAGTGGGTCATGAAGTTTTAAGACAAAGGAAAAATTGGTGGAAGGATGGCCGTTTCCAGTCCGAATGGGTTGGCCCTTGTGTCATAGACTATATTACAGAAAGTGGGTGTGCTATCCTGAGAGACAACACTGGAGCTAGACTTAAAAGACCTATCAAAATGTCTCACCTTAAGCCCTATGTAAGAGAATCCACTGAACAAGGTAAGTATCAATCATTTCTCTACAATTTTACTTTCTCTGAATGAGGAGAGAAGTTAAAATACAAGAAACTTTTTTTTTTTTTTTTTTCCTTTTGGTTGAGTCTTCTTTTCTTACATTTAGAGATTTTGGTATAGTTGTAGATATCCCAGGTAGTCTTTTTTTTTTTTTAGAATGTATGTACTGGAACTGTCAGGCTTGTGAGAGATTTTATTTTGATTTCTAGTGCACTTTCACAGTGTATGTGGGAGATATAGAATCTGTGTCACAGAAGAAAGGATCATGTCTTCTCTGTTTTTGCTTTTATAATGTTCGTTTAGTTACTTTGTACCTCATTTTAGTGGCATTAAAAAAACAGCAACTAAGATATGTAATACCAAAAACATACTCTGTGGAATTCAGTTTGGGAAACTAAAGAAATATGATTAATTTTTAATGTAGCATCATAGTCAGGCCATGGGTGGGGTCAGGTGAGGGTGTGGGGTGGGGTATGCTCAGAATGTTACAAGGTGCTGTTAAGGAGGTGATAGGTCCCCAAATGATGTTAATGTTAGATTCTGCCACTTCAATTTTTGACTTACGGCGACCCCATGTGACAGAGTAGGACTGCCCATAGGGTTTTCTAGGCTGTAACCTTTATGGGAGCAGATCGCCAAGTCTTTCTCCTGCAGAGTTGCTGGGTGGGTTCGAACTGCCAACCTTTCAGTTAGCAGCCGAGCACTTAACCATTATGCCACCAGGTCTCCTTAAAACAGTGTTATACTTTCCCCAAAATGTGACTGATTCGGAACAGTCACGACACCCTGATCTCTCTAATCCTTGCTTTCACTGACTAGAACTAAATAACATTTTTGCCATGGCTTTCAGATTAAGGCCTACTTTATTGGGATTGTTTTATTTTGTCTGTTGTAAAAAGAAAGATAAAGCATCAGTACTATTTGAATATGAGCAACATTTGATGTGGAGGGTCAGCGAAAACGAGGGAAACCCTCAGTGAGATGGATTGACACAGTAGCTTCAACAGTAGACTCAAACATAACAAAGAGCTTGGAGATGGTGTAGGACCAGCCAGCATTATGTTCTGTTACATATACAGTCACCGTGTGTCAGAGCCTACTTGACAGCAACTAACAAGAACATTTGATGGAAAATATAGTATAGTTTAAAATAATATAAACAACTTCAGTTTTTTAACAGGCTTAAGTAAGTAATAACAACAACAGCAACGACAAATAACCTTCACTTACCCTATGCCATTTTTAGGGTATGATGACTTCAGAGGCGGCTCAGTAATAGTGTAACTCTGCTTTTGATCTAGGCCACAATTCTTGTGTTAAAAGCTCTTAGTACCTATTCTTCTGCTTGTGACAGACCCAATTGCTCTAGCCAGAAAACACATCTTCAACAGCTTGTAATTCTTAAAACTCTCAAGTACCTTCATTTTCTTTGTTAGAAGATAAGCTCTTTCATTCCTTGTAACTCTTCTCGGTTCTGAGCTACCTTTTATGGTCTCTCCCATCTGCAAATTAAGTATAAAAAAATATATATTATACAGGTACATGTTCTGTTTTTCAGCATGATTTTTCTCTTAATCTTTGGCAATAGGACTTGCTTCTTTCCAATGTGTTAGCCTTCCTTAATATAAATTTCACGTTTAAAATGTTGCTGTATCATGATGTGTCTCAACATTTTGCAGTTTGCTCTTGCCAAAAACTTTTTTAGAAAGGAGGCCGTACGTTTTGCTTCTCCTGAATATTTCAGAACCCAGTTGGATAGAACAGTTTCTAAACAGAGGCAGTATAATTTTTGCCCCATACTTAAATTTGCTGCAGATGTTTTTTCCAGTAATATAAGGACTTTGGCAGCATTAGTACTGGTGTACACATAAGAAACCTGAGATTAATAGGTGAAACAGTTTTCTTTCTTCTTGTTAACCGAAGGAAGTATGACCAGGCTATCCTAGAATCTGATTTTTGATCACTATTTGGTTCTTTTGTGTGTGTGTATTTCTCTTACTTGCAGAAATTCAAAATAAGTGACATTTTTTTCCTCAGTATCATTTACTTTCCTGAAACTCTTCATCTCAATTTTAAAGAGTCTGTGAGCTGAATTTCAAGCAAACAAAATGTCTTTGAATAATCATCCAATTTGTTATTTGATGTAAATTTGGGTGAGCTCTATCCAAAAGAACTATGAATTTGTCTGTCTGTACTTATTGTCTCTGCTCTTACCAACCTTGAGATTTCGTAGCTGCATTAAAGTCTCATTGTGTAAAGCAGACATGCTTCTGTTGCCAGCTTCTTATCCATTCTTATCTAGAACATAATGCAAAGGGAGCACATTCAGTACTAGGTCTAAAATGTTTTTATTGCTATTTTAAGAAGGCTTGTTTGTCGTTTTGTCTGATTCCATGCCATGCAACTTTTCTGAGTAATTTTTATTAAAATAATGACAACAAGAAATCTTATGACATACCACAGTGTCTCTTAGTGATCATGATGGCCCTCTTTGAATGAGAAAATGATGTTATTGACCCACTGTTCCAGCAGACATAGATTTTGAGTAGTTTTCTTTGTTTCATTTTTTGGGTGGAGAATATTGTGATAGATTTGTTTCTGCCTCACCAAAAAGTTTTAGTCTGATTGTCCTTCACAGTTGAAAGTCCTCAATTGTAGAATAGCTTTTATTATTGTATTAGTTTCCTATTGCTGCCGTACCAAATTGCCACAAATCTGATGGCTTAAAACAACATAGATTTATTATCTTATACTTCCGTAGGTTAGAAGACCAGTACAGGTCCCAGTGACCTAAAATCAAGCATTGGCAGAGCTGTGTTTCTTTCTAGAGGCTCTAGAGGAGAACCAGTTTCCTTGCCTTTTCCAGCTTCTAGAGGCTGCCCACATTGGTTGACACATGGCCCTCTTTCTCCATTTTCAAAGCCAGCAATGGTGGATTGAGTCCTTCACACATTGCATCACTCTTGACTTCCTCTTCTGCCTCCCTTTTGCACATTGAAGGACTTTTGTGATTACAGTGGGCCCACTAGGATAAACCAGAAAGATCTCCCTGTTTTAAGGTCAGCTGATTAGCAACCTTAATTCCATCTGTTACCTTAACTCCCCTTTGCCTTACCTTAGTAACATATTCACAGGTTCCAGGGATTAATTAGTACATGGACATCTTTTGGGGGCCATTATACTGCCTACCACAAGTGTGATCTACATTTTTGAAATAAAGCAAAACTTAGTCCCTATGGTATCAAGCCCATGATCTTGACTTTATTATTAATATAGTTCATGCAAAAACCTTTCTTTTGGCCTCTTGGTTATGTATGTTATTAGTTAGAATTGGTTATCTGTTATAATGATAATGATACAGTATCCAATTTTAGTTATAAGGTTGTCATTTTATCACAGGAAAGGATGTACTAGTATGGCGACACATTCTAATAGTTTTAGGATTATCGGGCCATTTATAGGATTAGTCTAGTTATCTTTCTTCAGAATAAGAAAATTAAGTGTTTTGAAACCTTGTGCTTTTCTTTGTATGTGAAGAAATAAATCAGATCACTCAGACTTTTGAGATACTTTGATTTTAATTTATTTTTCTCCTTTGGGAAATTTAAATGTCTTATTATTAGCTGCTAACCAAAAGGTCAGCAGTTCAAATCCACCAGCTGCCCCTTGGAAACCCTGTGGGGCAGTTCTACTCTGTCCTATAGGGTCACTATGAGTCAGAATCAACTGGACAGCAGCAGGTTTGGTTTTCTGGTTTTTTAATCTAATTTTTTGCCCCTTTAAATTATGTAAGGAAAAGTATGTCAAAACTGCTGATAACATCTTTCTGAAATGTCTTGAAAATAACTCAGTTTTAAAGAAACTAAAAACTTAATTTATTCTGTCTGGTCAAAACAAATGATGCTTTCATCAACAAATGTCATAGTGTAACAATATCCATTAACCTTCATATATAAAGATTCTCCTGCTTAGCCATCAATTTAACATTCATTTTGAACATTTTCTTTCCCTAATGGAGATGATAAATTGCTCAAAATAAAATGCTGGCAAGGATGATTCCTTGTCTGTACTTTGGTAGAGATTTTTTATTTAGACCTAAATTAATTTCCTGATTATTTTGGTATTAAGTCAGACTTAAATGAGCTAAGCTTTGAAGCTACTTCATTACAGCCTCCCTGTTTACACATTCCTATTCATGTGAACCTGATTCTAGGAACTTTTTCTTTGTATTAGTTTATGACTTCATATTGTAACAATTCTGTTTGTTAAAATATCTTCCATGATCCCATTAATTCACCCAGAAATTCTTTACAGAAGCATATTAAGGATATTATCAACAGTTTTCAAAGACAAATATAGTTCTACAATTTTTAAAAATCTGTACCATAATTGTCCCACTTCCTTCCTTGCCCCCACCTACCGAAGACAGGTCAAGGAAGCAGGAAAATCTAGCTGTTTTAAAATCCTTGATCTTTCTTGCATTCAGTATGTAAGAACTGTCAAAATTATATATTGTATTCATTCTTTCACATGTGTATTTATTTAGTAGACAAGAGAACCTCCCAAAAGTTAATCCTGATAGTTAATTTTTATTACTTGGAGTTTTGTTCCTCATGTAACATTGTTCAATTTTAAAATGATGTTTAATTACCATTCTAAAAAGCAAACTTACGATGTTTCTTCTTTCAGACAGTCTTTATCTCTTACAAGGTTCAATAGTAGCAGATCATGACTACATCAGGTTGCCTGAAATTCCAGTTGGAGCATACCAAGCAAATATTCTGGTAGAAGATGCAACTATTGCTGTAGTTGATAATGAATTACTGACATCAACCAAGGACCGTGAACTATTAGAATATAGAAATGCCAAAGTCTCTCCATTGATAGAAGATCATGGTACTCTTGACAAACAGACTTTCAGTCTGTTGGATTCTTCAAACCAAGTCCTTGAGTACTTAAGTTAGTAAATACCAAAATTTATTTAAAATGCTTGTTTACAATGTATAAACCCTTGAATCTTGATATCTCATCTATCAAAAAAGTTGTATAGAAGTGTCTTGACACACTCTTGATAACTAAATCCTGATGTCTATTTTATAACTATTTATCTGAAGTTGTGACCATGTTTGAATGTCAGTGCATATATATGTATACGGGCAGAGGAAGTGTATCATATATAGAATTCACTTCTAAACAGAGAATAGGCAAAGCACACTTGCTTCTTAGGAAGTAAATTAAATTCTTGCTCAAAACTCTCTAATCTTTGTTTGATATCTGTATTGTGTTTTCAGTTTTAATTTTTCTGGAATACTTCCCCCTTGTGTAAATAAATTCTAACTCCCTACAATGGGATTAATAAATATTGAATCAACCATAACAATGAATTAAATGAAACTTCTTTATGTGTCATTGGAGCTTGTAAAAATAATATTGTAGGAAAAAACTCAGGGTTGTCTAATGTGCTCTTACAAGATATTGGTAATTTCACCTTTTAGATAGGCTCAGGGTTAAGGTCTGGAGCTCTATTATTGGTTTGAAACATTTATTCATTTCCATAATATATACTAAAGCCAAAAACACCAACTTCAATTAATAAGAATTTTCTCTGCAATCTTTAAAAAAGAGAAGTAAATAATAATGATAAAATAAGTGACATCAAAGATTTTAAATTATAATTTTTATGACATTTTTAACTTTGTTCAACAAGTATTTCTTGTAAAGCACTGCAAAGAAGCACTGTGGGAAAATAAAAAGATGAGTCAGATATGTACCTGAGTCCTTATAAGGGACTTACAGTCTGATAAGGAGTATAAACCATATAAGACATGTGCAGAGGAGCCCTGGTGGTGCAGTGGTTAAGCACTCAGCTGCTAAATGAAAGGTTGGCCTTTCGAACCCACTAGCCAATCTGTGGGAGAAAGATGTGGCAGTCGGCTTCTGTAAAGATTACAGCCTCCGAAACCCTGTGGAGCAGTTCTTCTCTCTCCTTTAGGGTTGCTATGAGTCGAAATCAACTTGATGGCAGTGGGATTTTTTAAGACATGTACAACACAAATTACAAGTTAAAAAGTGCTAAATTCCATGAGAGAAGTACAGATAATATACTTATAAACCAGCTGCCATTGGGTTGATTCCAACTAATGGCAACCTCTGTGCTTCAGAGTAGAACTGTGCTCTGTAGGGTTTTCAAGGGTGTGACCTTTTGGAAGCAGATCACCAGGCCTGTCTTCTGAGGTACTTTTGAGTTGGTTTGAACCTAGTTACACATTGCTGATAGGTCTGGGGTTTATTTTAGAGGTGACAACAATGCCCAAAAGTTAGATAGTGGTGATGGTTACACACTCTGCGAATATACTGAAGTCCACTGAATTGTGCACTTTAAAGGGTGAATCCTATGTATGTGAATTATATCCCAATAAAGGTGTTATAAAAAGAGTCTAAACCACAGTTAAAACAACAGAACTAGCCACAGAGCCACATCTAATTCCATAAGAGAGGTAAGTACAGTCTTATCATATTCTTGGAAGGAAGATAACCAGAATATTGGTAGATAATTTCAATAACTGGCATACTCATTAACGAGTTTAATATGTCATTTGATTTACTCCATGGATGAAGCAGTATAAAGGTCAGTGTAGAGATACTCAAGCCATATTCTTGCCATGGACCATGTTGAACATTAAAACTTTTTATTTTCCACGTAGGAAACGTTGACTCCAGTCACGTTGTTTTACTCACGATCCCCTCCAGTACTTATTTGTTCCAGCCTGGATGCCTTTTGTACTAGGTCTGTCCATACCTTTGCCTAGAATGTGGTGCTCCTCTTTTTCAAAGTAGAGCTAAGTCACACTCTGTGAAGTCACCTGTGACCTGATGAGGTTTCCATGCTTATTTGTGGCATCTTTTTAGTAAATTCTGTTAATGGTTATTTATGATAAAACTTATTTTTCCTCCCCGATAAATTGTCAATATAAGCTATTCAAACTAAATGCTGGTTTTATAACTGAAATCTCAGGATCCTAACGCAGAGATTTCAAGTACAGATTTTAAGTAAACAAATACAAAACAAAGTACCCACAGATTTTTATGTACACAGACACTTGTCTCTAATGTTTGCAGGGCCTGTCAAGAGTGAAAATAGAGGTCCATGTAACATGTACCTAAATATTTAAAAGTTACAAATCAAGCTAACAAACTTTCTATCTTGGCAGATATACCCTAAGGTTTCTATTTAGGATCCTTGGACTCCTCAGAGCCCTGCACTAGTGAGTGACAGCGCAGGGAGAGCTGGTCTCATCAGACCCCAGCCTGGCCCTTTGTCTCACCATATCCACTCCTGAGGACACCCAACCACAGTCCACCGAGATGCAGGCACTCCAGCTGCCCGTCCCCTCTGGGGGACAGACCAGAGGCCCTGGAAGAATTGGAGTGTGGGTCCAGGTAGGCACATCCCTGGGTCCTGAGTCTCTTCACCCCACCGCAAGGAGTGTAGCTGGATCAGGACAGAGTCCAGCCCTCAAACAAGGGGCCCCTCTTTTAAGGGAGGTTTTCTATAAATATAGTAAAAATTTGACCAAAAAAAAATCTAGAAATGTCTTTGTGATGTTTTGTATGCCACCCCATGGTATTTTTATAAGTACTTGAAAACCCGATATAGAAGTGGAGATGCTGAGCTAAAGGAAAACTATATTTTGAATGAGAATAATTTCTTGGTTTGAAAAATTATTTTTAAATTAAAGTTAATTTTAAATTTCAACTGTAGAATGTTCTTTGTTACTATCTAAAAAAGGAGCAACTCACAAAGATTTATAAAAGAAAACTTCTGTTTTTAGCTATACAATTCATTCATACACTCAGAGATAGATATTAAATGCCTACTATGTTCCATGCACTGTTCTGCCACTAACATACCAATGACAAAACAAAATTGTTTGCCCTCTTAGAGCTCACCTCCCAGTAGAGTGATATAGTAAGGAGCCCTGGTGGTACAGTGGTGAAGTGCTCAGCTGCTAACCAAAAGAGGTCAGCAGTTCAAACCCACCAGCTGCTCTGCGGGAGAAAGATGTGGCAATCTGCTTCTGTAGAGATTAGAGATTACAGACTTGGAAACCCTGTGGAGCAGTTGTACTCTGTCCTTTAGGGTCTCTATGAGTCTGAATCAATCGGCAGCACATAACAGCAGTGATATAGTGATCAGTAGTTCTTATGAATACATTACTTACATCCAATCTTAACATCTCATCGATAGCCTTTTGCACAGATATCCGGTGGGGATCTCTACCCAGAGCCCTGGAAATCTTAAGTATTCCATTCCACTTATTTTTTGACTGCAGAAATCTGTAACAGAATTTTTTTTTTTTTCTCCAAGGGGTCTGAAAAGGATTAGGCCACTTCCAGTTTTGGAGTTTCTAACCATTAAAATAATTTTTTAAAAAAACAAAAACAAAATAAGCATTTAAAGAGCAATTTTTTTCTCACTTTTGTTTCCTACAAATGCATTTATTATTGAGGGGAAAATTCTAGCTTTGTGCAGTGTTACAACTGATATCAAGTAGGCAAAGATCAATTATCAAATGCAAAAAATATCTAAATTGGTAGCTTTCTCTGGGCTTAAACGCAGGCCAGATGCCTGCTTTCTCTAATTCTTCTATGCTCTCCTCACTCCTCCGCCTTACTTCCTCACCCCCATTGATGCCACTTCACTTACGTTGTTGTTGTTGATAGGTGCCGTCAAGTCAGTTCCAATTCATAGCAACCCTATGTACAACAGAACGAAATACTGCCAGGTCCTCACAGTCGTTGCTATGTTTGAGCCCATTGTTGCAGTCACTGTGTCAGTCTATCTTTTTGAGGGTCTTCCTCTTTTTTGCTGACCATCTACTTTACCAAGTACGATGTCCTTCTCCAGGGCCTAGTCCCTCCTGATAACATGTCCAAAGTACATGAGATGAAGTCTTGCCATCCTCGCTTTTAAGGAGCATTCTGGCTGTACCTCTTCCAAGACAGATTTGTTCATTCTTCTAGCAGTCTGTGGTATATTCAGTATTCTTCACCAACACCATAATTCAAATGCATTAGTTCTTCTTCAGTCTTCCTCATTCATTGTCCAGCTTTCACATGCATATGAGGTGATTGAAAATACCATGGCTTGGGTCAGGCACACCTTAGTCCTCAAAGTGATATCTTTGCTTTTTAACATTTTAAAGAGGTCTTTTGCAGCTGATATGCCCAACGCAATACATTGTTTGATTTCTTGACTGCTGCTTCTATGGGTGTTGATTGCGAATCCAAGTAAAATGAAATCCTTGACAACTTCAATATTTTCCCTGTTTATCAAGTTGTTGCTTATTGATGCAGTTGAGAGGATTTTTGTTTTATGTTGAGGTGTAATCTATACTGAAGGCTGTAGTTTTCATCAGTAAGTGCTTCAAGTCCTCTTCTCTTTCAGCAAGCAAGGTTGTGTCATTTGCAAATCATAAGTATGTAACTTATGTAACCACCCACAACCTGTTCAGAAGGTAAGGAGTATTGAGCTTAGGAGACTTATCTGACCAGATCATTGTCCAAACTTTGAAGGGCCTTGTGAGGAGCAGACAGAGAGTCAATTCCGTGACTTGGTGGATGGCTAGAGGAGACCAGATAGCAGGTGACAGCCGCACCCCTCACCCCCACATCCCCATTAAGTCTCTGTTAATTCTGAGAGAATAGGCTCCAGGAGCTGAAGTGGAGATGGCAAGAGAGGCTAAAGGGAGTCTGTCTTCTCTTCATTTCTTCTCCTGCACATATCCCATTGGTGGTGAAGAGAAAATTACTAAATGGAATGGTGTTCTTCCTTTAGTATCATCTTTTCCTGTATCATAAGTATTATGTAACCTATAGCCTCTGGATTTCTGAGAAGTATGTTATTGTGGGTTTTTGCTTTTTTCATTTATAATTCTATTCTTACAGACGTTGTTGTTATGTGCTGTTGAGTCAGTGACCCTGTAGGACTAGAGTAGAGCTGCCCCATAGGGTTTCCAAGGAGCAGCTGGTGGATTTGTACTGCCGACCTTTTGGTTGGCAGCCCAGCTCTTAACCATCGTGCCACCAGGGCTCCAAACATATATTATTCATTTTTCAATTGTATATGATAAATAAACATAGTGATAAGATAATCGTATTGGCAGTTTATGTGATTCATTCATGTTGTTGTTGTTAGGTGCCGTCGAGTCAGTTTCAACTCATAGTGACCCTATGAGAATGAAACACTACCTGGTCCTGCGCCATCCTCAAAATTACTGTTATGCATGAGCCCATTGTTACAGCCACTATGTCAGTCCATCTCATTGAGGGTCTTCCTTGTTTTCGCTGACCCTCTACTTTACCAAGCATGATGTCCTTCTCCAGGGATTGATCCCTCCGGATAACATGTCCAAAGTATGTGAGACGAAGTCTCACCATCCTTGCTTCTAAGGAACATTCTGGTTGCACTTCTTCCAAGACAGATTTGTTCATTCTTTTGGCAGTCCGTGGTATATTCAATATTCTTCACCAAAGCCACAATTCAAAGGCGTCAGTTCTTCTTCGGTCTTCCTTATTCATTCATTGTCCAGCTATCATGTGTATACGAGGCAACTGAAAATACTGTAGCTTGGGTCAGGCACACCTTAGCCTTCCAGGTGACATCTTTGCTTTTTAACACTTTAAAGAGGTCTTTTGCAGCAGATTTGCCCAATGCAATGCGTCTTTTGATTTCTCTACTGCTGTTCCAATGAGTGTTGATTGTGGATCCAAATAAAATGAAATCCTTGACAGCTTCAATCTTTTCTCCATTTATCATGATGTTGCTTACTGATTCAGTTGTGAGGATTTTTGTTTTCTTTATGTTGAGGCGTAATCCATACTAAAGGCTGTAGTCTTTGATCTTCATCAGTAAGTGCTTCAGATCCTCTTCACTTTCAGCAAGCAAGGTTGTGTCATCTGCATAACACGGGTTGTTCATGAGTCTCCCTCCAATCCTGATACCGTATTCTTCTTTGTATAGTCCAGCTTCTCAGATTATTTGCTCAGCATACAGATTGAATAGATGTGGTGAAAGGACACAACCTTGACGCACCTTTCCTCACTTTAAACTACTCAGTATCCACTTGTTCTGTTCGAACAACTGCCTCTTGATCTATGCTTACAGGTTCATCATGAGTACAATTAAGTGTTCTGGAATTCCCATTCTTCATAATGTTATCCATAATTTGTTATGATCCACACAGTTGAATGCCTTTGCATAGTCAATAAAACACAGGTTAAACATCTTTCTGGTATTCTCTGCT